AGAAACTTTAGAAAACAAAGAAAAAGGTTTTAGAAATCGTTTGAAAAAAAAAAAAGACTGTTATGCAAACAAATGAAAGAAAATGAAAAGAGAAAAAGGAAAAGATGTGAGAGTAATTGATAAGCTGGGCACACAGGTCTAACACCAAGAGTTGAGGTTTGAATGGGAGCCATTGTTTTGGTCGTATAAGCTAGAGAAGATTGTGTTTGGAGTTGGAATAAGATTTAAAAGTACTAAGGCCACGATACGCTGGTCTGAGCTCCACCTAATGGTACATTGTACGTACGATTTTGAGGTTTTTATTTTTAAAAAAGTATATCATTTGGATAAGGATCTTATACTCATAATAAGACTGAAATTTAAAACATTATGTTGTAACACCCAACACCTTGAACACCTATGCCTTCAGTCCATTTCTAAGTTTTAAGGATTTTTGTGAGTTTAAGGTTCCAAACTTTGTAGCTTTGGCCAGCTGTCAATCCGACGCTCCCGCTTCCTAAAGCAAGAGTTGTTCCCGCTCTCTAAACCGGGAGTTGTTCCCGCCCCCGGTAACTATGGTTCAAACTAGGAAGGGAGTCCTTGGAAGGGAACAAAATTACGTTTTAGGTCTAGGATAGTTCTGGGGAAGTGATTAGGACTGACTGGCCCTATGGTTTAAGTTTACGGGCTCCAAGCAAGCCCATTAGCCAATGTAGGATATCAAGCTGGTAACTGTGTTTTCTACTAAAGTCAGCCGTAAACCAATAAATATTTGAAAATTTCAGCCCAAGATATTAATACACATAAAAGAAATTTCCAATTGAATCTAAAGGGATAAAATAAAGGAATCGGCTAGTTTTGAGTTGTTCAAAATAGGGAACGAAGCAGTTCGGAAGTCCAAAAATGGCAAAACTCACTTCAATACATAGAAAAAAAAGAAGAAAAAGAGGGGGATATTCTTTTAGTGGTAGTATACCATATACCGCAATTATACGTTGTGGCTTTTATTCTCACTGACACATTTAAAAACTACTAAATAATTTAAAAAAGGTGGATTTCATTCAAACTGGCATCTTCAAAAACTACTAACTAATTTAAATCAGTAGGGGCCATCTTCCCTACTGAATTACCCAAAAAAAAAAGAAGCCTTAATAGAGAATCTCGTCTTAAACCATGGCATACAACCTCCTTCAAGCTAAATATATGCATGCCATGGCAGTATAAGAATTCCACTCCCAAACCATGGCATAGAGCCGAGTGGAAGTCTTAGAGGAGGGAGAGGAGCTGAGCTCGTGGTGGTAGTACACCCCATATCTCAGTTGCACGTTGTGGCTTTCACTTGTAGCTTCAAAACCCACTAACTAATTCAAAAACAATTAGGGGCCTATTATCCCTACTTACATACTTTAATAATAATATAAATAATAATAATAATAATAATAACAATAATAATAATAATAATAATAATAATAATAATAATAATAATAATAATAATAATAATAATAATAATAATAATAATAATAATTATAATATTTGAGGAGAATCTCGTCGTCAAACCCTCATAAATTGGCTAGTGTTTGTGATCTAGCCATTCCTCCAATGGTCTATTGCAGATCAACATTGAGAAACTCCCTCTCCAGTCCAATCTCCACCATCCATCTACAAACAAGGCCAGACCTGAAAATGGCAGCACGCTGGACCACAATAGGAGAACCATCCGCTAGTGTATAAAATATTGCAGCGTACACTGACGGTCCACAAACAATGGGTACTTGCTGAAACCAGATTGCTCTGCCCCTCTTGCTTGTTATCTCTCCCTCTTTTGCCTTTGAGATCAAGGAAGCCACAGTGAACCAAATTCAAGAAGCCTTCAAGCGCAAGAAGCTCACATCAAGAGACCTTGTCGAGTTCTATCTCCGAGAAATTAACGCGCTCAACCTGCTTCTACGTGCAGTGCTCGAGGTGAACCCGGATGCGTTGGACCAGGCCGACAGGGCTGACAAAGAGAGAGAGAGACCACACAAGGAGAGTGCACCAAAGGGTTACATGGGATACCGGTGCTGTTAAAGGGTAACATAGCAACACGAGACCAGCTCAACACCATGGCTGGATCACTTTCGTTGCTTGACTCGGTTCGATGGTGCCACGAGATGCGGGAGTGGTCAGGAGGCTGAGGAGGGTGGGTGTTATCGTTCTGGGGAAGGCAAGCCCTAGTGAATTGGCACATTTTAGGACGTTTAAGGCCCCTAATGGGGAGTGTACTTGGGGGTCAACCGAAGGTAACACACAGATCCTTTATTTAGAACAAATGGTTTGGAAATTTCCTCACGCATTAGACTCGCTAGGATCATTAACCTCGAGTCCGATTGCCTTACCCAGTCGAATCCTAAGCAAAAAATACATGCAATTTATGCCTTCTTTTAGGAGTAAGCTTTGTAAAAATACGCTTGCACTAAAAAATTCAAATAAATGTTTTATTTAAATAAAAGAATAAAATGTGAGACTAACTTTTGGTCATTGGATATGACCATACGAGATCTTAACCATTGGAAGGGTCTGTCCACTTGATGTGGACGGGTACTTTCCCTTTTTAAGTTTGTTTTTAAATGGTTTCTTTGCATTTGTTAATGTTCTACCTTATTCAGGATTATTTTTGTCTTCTATGTTCACTTTGGCTTTCTAGCATGGTTTTTTAGAACAAACAAGCAATTAGTTTTCCAATGATTTCTATTTACCTTTTTAATTTATCTAATTTTTAATTGTTTATTTGAATTTTATGTTTTTAATAGCGTAAATAACTCGTTCGTGTCTACTATGGCTTGGCCGAGTAATTAGCTTCAACCAAGGTCCGAGTACCTTGGTCTAGGTGAGCTTGAAATATAGAATGTATTTTCAATAACGCCCGGCTTTGCGAAAACAAAGTGAAGCCTCATCTCATATCCTCATTCGGAAAGCACTTTGGGCATCATAAATCTTCATGATGGCTCTAAATTCAATTTTTAAGCGAACTATGAAATTTGGACGTTAAAAAAATAGTACAAATCTTGCTATCTATTAATACTCATTTTTTCGACGAAATGGACAAATTGTTTTATAATAGACATCATTTTTAGAGTTTGGAATCCTAATTTTTTTCACAACTGTAATGGTCAAGGACGATGATTAATTTGAAGGTTTCTAACGCAACAATTGTAATCTTTCGTGAGTTTTAGGGTGAGGCTTTACTTATTTTATTAGGGCTGCAGCCTTATCAAAACATTTTCATGGCTAATGTCATGAAAATTTGAAAGTTGAAATTTTCAACTTGTTATCTCATAAAGTATTTTAAATTTCTAGGAAGTACCCGTGTTATGAAGATATTTTCGTATTTTTTGAAAACAACACAAAGATTGGATCATCATATTTTGAGAGACTCATTCCCATTTAGAGAAACCACGATTTTATCTAAATAAATAATCCGCATGCTCGATTTTATGCAAGTATTTGCTCCTAATTCTCTATAAAAATGGCTATTAACTTTGAGAACCAGCAAAGTCATAGTTTTGAGATTGTCCATTTCTTAAAGAGTTTTGTTTGCATGATGAAGCTTTCTACAGTTTCTGCACTGATTTTCTTTGCCCTTCACTGTGTTTCTGGTAAGTTCTTGCCTTCCTCATTCCCTGCAATGATGTACCACCTCTTTCTCTCTCTTTTTTTCCCCACCTCTTTTTCTCTTTTTTTCTAAGAATCTCTCTATTGACACATTTTTGTTCATTCATTTTACTTTTATTTATTTTTGAGTAGATGGGGAAGGGCTACTACCCGTGGTAGGCATAGAACTCAAAATGTCATGATGTGGTACCTAATATTTTGACTATGTATGCCTTGAGTCCAATCTTTTCAATTGTTCTTAAGATTGAGGCTCTCTTTCTCACTCTATACGAAGACTTATATATTTTTTAGTTTTCGTACTTGTGTGTCTCCCATGAAAGAGAGAGAAATAGAGCGAGAAAGAGATTGTCTATTACAATGCCTATGACATTCCCATTGTCTCTTGTCTTTCACTTGCTCTCAACCTCATTGTTTAAACTTTTGATCGCTACAATACGCTCTTATATTTTGAAAAAATTATGTCCGGACCACTTTATTTTAAAATATGTATAGGTTGGTACAATTTTATAGTTTTAAATAAAATTATATGTGACCTTATTATCAGCATTTAAATATGATACGGATGTAATTTTTTACGTCATGACATAGATAGCATGCATGCATGAGAGTGTCTCACTTGCAAGGCTAAGTTAGAATGAATAAAGAGTCAAATATAGTAATTTGTTTTTATTTTGATTTCAGTACTTGGAGAGGGGACTACCTTGAGAAATGCAGGCATGAACAAATGCGAGCTGAGGTTGAAGAACAGGAATCTAATTTCTTCAGCGAATATTGGCAGCGGAGTGGATTCGGAGTGGCTAACCCAATCTGGAACCACAATGGTGAGGGCTGCCTGCCCTCTATATCAAAGGGCCGCAAGCTCCATGATGTGCCCAGTGGTCCTAACCCAATCGGAAACCACCATGGTAGGGGTAGCCCGCCCTCTATCTCGGAGGGCCGCAAGCTCCGTGATGTGCCTAGCATCCTTAACCCAATCGAGAACCACAATGGTAGGGGAAGCTCGACCTCTGCCTCGAATGGCCGTATGCTCTAATAAATACCTAGCAGCCCTAACCCATATGTTAACCACAATGGTGGGGGAAGTTCGACCTATGCCTTGAGTGACCGTATGCTTCTTGATGTGCCTAGCGGCCAAAACCCAATCGGAAACCACCATGGTAGCGGTAGCCCACCCTTTGTCCTAGAGGGCCACAAGCTCCATGATGTGCCTAGCGGCCTTAACCCAATCGGGAACCACAATGGTAAGGGAAGCTCGACCTCTACCCTGAATAGCCGTATGCTCTATGAAATACCCAACGACCCTAACCCAATCGTTAATCACAATGGTGGGAAAAGTTCGACCTATGCCCTGAAGAACCGCATGCTCCATGATGTGCCCAGCGGACCCAATCGGGAACCACAATGGTGGGGGAAGCTCGACCTCTACCCCAAATGGTTGTATGCTCGATGATGTGCCCAGCGGCCCTAACCCAATCGGGAACCACAATGGTGGGGGAAGCTCGACCTCTACCCTGAAGGTCCATATGCTCCATGATGTGCATAGCGGTCTTAACCCAATCGGGAAGCACAACAGTAGAGGAAGCCCACCTTCTGCCCAAAAGGACCGTATGCTCCATGATGTCCCTAGCGGCCTTAGCTCAATCGGCAACCACAATGGTGGGGGAAGCTCGACCGCTGGCTTAAATGGACGTATGCTCCATGATGTACCCAGCGGACCTAACCTAATCGGAAACCATAATGGTGGGGGAAGCTCGACCTCTGCCCTGAAGGGTCGTATGCTCCATGATGTGCTCAGCAACCCTAACCCAATCGAAAAGCACAACAGTGGGGGAAGTCCGCCTTCTGCCTTGAAGGGCCGTATGCACCATGATGTGCCTAGCAGCCCTGACCAAATCGGTAACCACAACGGTGGGGGAAGCTCGACCTCTGCCCCGAATGGCCATATGCTGCATGATGTGCCCAACGTCCCAAACCCAATCGAGAACCATAACAGTGGGGGAAGCCCGCCCTCAGCACTAAAGGGCCGTATGCTCCATGATGTGCCAAGTGGCTCTAACCCAATCGGGAACCAAAATAGTGGGAGAAACCTACTCTCTGTCTCGAAGGGCCATATGCTTCATGATGTACTCAATGGCCCTAACCCAGACGGGAACCGCAATGGTGGGGGAAACCCGCCCTCAGCACTGAAGGGCCATATGCTCCATGATGTGCCCAACGGCCCTAACCCAATCGGGAACC